AAATCTAGCCCTGAACGAGACGCGCGATGAAAAAGTAGCAGTCCGCAGATGCACGGAACAGCATCGCTTCCACAACCTGAACATTTCAGCACTTGACCCCACTTATACCATTGTTTATGCACGCTAAACAGGAAACTCTGTTCTAATCAGCTCCACCATTCGACGCATGGGACTCGTTGGAAGCGGCGCTCGTCAGCTCGCTCGCGGCGTATTCCGTCTAACGAACGTCGATACGATTATGCAATCGAGGATGTTGCAGACGTTCGATTCACGGCCGGGTCACGGGACAGTTTTTCGCCGCGATTACGACTTTGACCCAATTCCGCGAGAAACAACCGGGATGTTAGGGACGCTGAAAGATCTGTTCTTGCTTTGAACGCTTCGATATCCACGATAACGGTACGAGTTCTTCATTTAATCACAATTAATGCGCAATATTTCTTTATCGCTTAGACCTTCAAATATCGCTTCTCTTGTGATTTCCGCGCGAAGGCTTGTAACAAGAATGTAAACTTTCGGCAGAACTTTCAGACACTAGAAACTAAGGAAACTACTTCTGTCTATGCTATCTACCGATCTGTCATTGTTTATATAATTATTCTATGATATATCACTATATATAATTGCAGCCTTCATTTCTGGATACGTAAACCTATCGTAGCCAACGGAAGGACGCTAATTTTCAACGGGTCAAACGCTAAAAAGGTTAATACACGGTAGCTGTTCCGGACATCACCGCTAGCTAGTTTAGGGGATGGGACTAGGTAATTGGTGGGTACCTCAAGAGGGAAGCAGAAAATAGGGCCAGCTATTTTCGGGCAGGTTGAGTAACCTGGCCCTCAGGAAATTACCGGGCCCGTTCGACGTTTTTGCTACGTCCACGCGTAGAACCAACCGGACAGTTTCCTAGCGGTCGCATCAACGGGCAGAGAGAGAAAGAGAAATAGAGAAAGAAATAGAGAAAGAGAGAGAGAGAGAGAGAGAGAAGCTAGCTAATTGGCTGAATCGAATTAAGAGCGCGGCCGGTATTTTCATCGCTGCAATTCTCTAATTGGCCGCGGACGAATTGGCCAATTGTTTCCACTGGTTTGCACGTCCGCCTCCGTTTAACCCCGGTGCTTCGTTAACGGAACGACCGACGCGACGCACGATTTCCTTACGGAAAGCGGCAGTTTTCTTTTCCAGGAATCGACGCGAAGACCCGTCACGTTTCTCTGGAACGACGGTTCGACGATAAACCGCCTTTCACTGCAGGAAAAAGGAGTTTTCCCTATTCTTTCGATGATAAACGCGTCGACAATGGTTCGTATTCCTCTCGTGTGAGGATGATGGTCCACTTTTGTCGCGGCTCGAACCCGGCTGCGTAGGCGGCTGCGGGAGTTTGTGTTGTTTTCGTAAAGCTTTACATTTATACGCAAGGTTATAGAGTAGTTAACGCGTCAATTTGATGTACATTAAACTTCATAAACTTTTGCAGGAATTTAAGTAATTTCACTGGAAGAGGCAGAGTTAATAGCTTTGACTTGTAGAATTCAAATGAAACTTAGCAAATATGGATATCACTCGATTCTTTTAAACTCGAACGAAATATTGTTCTTCTGTTATCGATTGTTACACTTCAGAGGTAACATAGGCGTAGAATATGCCTAGAATTTTCCTTTTTCTCGATAAATTATTAGCAACAATGTAGTCGTATTGCTCACGCTTCAGAAAGAAATCGTAGCTCGATACGTTGACCTGTCGTTACGCGATAAATCGATGGGAGGAGAAAAGGAATCGGCCATTTTTCCACGATCCGCTTTATTGGATTCGATGTCACGAGACTCTGGAGCATAATTCTTCAAATATCTCGATAGTTCCACAAAGGAACGCAGCGACAGTCTGCCGACACGCGACTAAGCACAGGGTTTCTGTTCCTCTTAGCGATTCACCAAAGGCGAACCTTTGAATATTACTCGCTCGGATGCTTTTTCGATGCTCCGAATAGTAGATAACTTCAGCAGGCTGCTCTATGCAACCCGTTTTTCGCTGCAGGTCGCGTTCCTCGTGGATTTCGCGGGGTTTTTATGATCGAGTGGGAGGGAGTCGGTTGGAACGGTTCGAGCAATGTAGAAATCAACTGCGCACCTCGAGGTAAACAGCGTGTCGCAAGCGATAAAGCGTATTGCTAGACGATATTAAGATTGCGATCAGGTCGAGGGTGCTCCACTGAATTTAACGAGTGCCGCGTACACGGAGAAATTCGGAGATAGCCGAATAATTGGCGCGAGTTAATCGATCGCGAGTATTCGAGGGATATCGTTAATTCGCGCGACTGATCGGAAGATCAGGTGCGGGTCGAACGTTCTCGCGTAATCGAATCGAGTGTACTTGAACGCCGAAGGAAATTCATCCACGAGCTGTATGAAAGTAAAGTAATCTTTGCAATAAATCAATTTTAGTTGCAATTTGCAACATACAATTTAGCTTTCTAGCCTTTCAAAAGAGAAACTGTTAAAACCGCGCGAATGTTCGAACGCCGACATTTCGGTGGGATCAAACTTTCACGTTTGGAATACTAACAGTAAATAAACAATAACAAAAGGATAATAGTACACTGGAACTACCGGTCTGATCAAAATCACCCATTCCTGGTTTCTTTTCGCGATTACTGAGAAGGTAGACCATGCCTCTAAGAATACTGAAGAATTTCACTCGGCAATACGCAAACTACATTGTAAATCAATAGAAATCTCGACAGATGTATCTTTGGAGGTTCTGTACAAAAATTTCGAGAAGTCTGATCTAATCAGGGACGTTTAAACGCATACGTAGCCTTCCCTTCTTCCATTCTTTAAGTATTTGACACATATTGCAGCTTTATCCGTTGCGAGTTTTCTATATTTTAAACAGTCCTCGTCTAGAAAGGGTTAGACGTTCGATTCAACGACCGTTCGATGCCCAGACGGTTCGGAATTGAACGGTCCGGCCTCAGGACGACGAGAAGAAATTAATCTTCGTAGGTGTTAAGTAACAAGCGAGGTTCCGGCGGCCATTCAGCCGCTGGAGTTAAGTAACGCCGCGGTTAGGGAACGCGGCATTAAGTGAACTAGATTATGAAATGAGTTACGATTGAATAGATTGCTGGAAAGGTGTTTCGCCGCGGCCACTTCCTACATTTTCGCGGCGAGTGTCAGCCATTGTTTGCGCTATGCAACCCGCCTGCACGGGAGAGCCGACGCTCGAGAGCAATCGCCGTGTTTATCGTCATTATCAATGAGGATCTTTATCGCTCGAGATACGCGCTCACAACGGAGCCCATAAAAATTTATTTCGCGGACGCTCGCTACGCGCGCCTGTGTACTCTTTGAAGCTTACGGGATTCGAAACGCGCTACTGTGTCGCGCTTCGAATCGGAAACGTGAGTACTTAACGCTGGAATCCCTGGATGGATCGAAACGTTCTACTTTCGATTTCTTGTTTTAACTTTACAAGTCGTCTAGGACGATTACTGGGACTTACCGAAGTCACTGAACACTGGTTACTAAAATTAATTAATTTACTAATCATTATCAGAGTTTCTATAAAACGATAGAGAAAAGTCAACTGCTCAGTGGTTCCAGTGGATCCTTAAGGAGACTTTTATCTACCAACTTCATTGTATACAGAATTAATGTTTCTGTTGTTGTAAATCGTGTGTTATCCAATTTGATGAAATTGAACGAACATTTGAAATTGTACGATTAACACTGGATTTCCGTGATATCTGCATTAGCCTGCTTCTAGCGATATGAAATCAAAATGGCCGCCCCAAGCCTAGGTGTCTAATAATATGCACCGCGATGCAGAGGAAACAAGGAGACGAAAGCCGGAGACCTTGGGGACATTTCTTTTTGCAGGCATTTTAGCACCGACGTCACATCTTTGCGCAGTACTCGTTACAACGAGCTGCAAGGAGACGCGGAATTGCAAAAAGACAGTGAAATCTTGTGTGCCTTTCCCGGGGACTAATTGTTTGGGGATATAAGAACGAGAATAATTTGCCCGCGCTACCGAGAACAGGCTGGCCATGTTATTGTTTATTGTTTCGTGTAAACAGAAGCGACACGCGTTATCATTCAGCTATTACCGACTGTTGTCACCATTGTACGCGTCCCTGATCTTCCATAAACACAATGAATCGAGGCAATATACGTTGATGCCGTCCGTAAGGGGAATAATCACGATCGTAGATAACGTTTTCAAATATTACCGTTCGAGTGTGGAGCCTGCGAGCTCCATTCTCTATTTTCATTGAATTCACAGAATTCTGAAGGAACATTTGGCCTCAAGGTCTGAACACCTAATTAACAACTAATTTACGAAACGGCTGACAGTGTTGTTTTTAATAATTCATTAACAACTACTTGGACTTAACACTAAACGCAACGTGAGTCAACATACAATACACCACTTCCGTTCCCAACATTCGATTGGAAACTATCGTAAAAATCCAAAGAACGAAGAAATAAAAATCATTGGAACCTTGATTATTATACATTTAACCTATTGCACTCGAAAGTTTTTCACTAGAAATATTCAATATTCTCCGATGAGATACAGACATAAATTAAGGAGGATTTCAATATTCCACACATTGGTGCATCATGCAAAGCTTAATATTATACATAAGACTGAATAATTCTGCAAATCAAATCAAGTGGCGACTGAGAGTTAACGCTTTGCAGTCGACAATATTTTTCATGAAAAATATTCATTACTTTCTGACTGAATATTAACGAAATTTTTCGCAACTAACACAATTGATTATCTTCTATAAATTAAGAGACAGGACTATTTTACTTCGATGTTTTATGTGTCGATACATCACACAAGGTTTAACATTGAATTGAAAATTTTATAAGTTTGCTGCGTCAAATCGAATGGCGACTTAGAGTCGGCTCTCGAGTGCAAAGGGTTAATACCGACAGAATTCTAGTAGAATTACCTCGCGCGAGAAGATTCCAAGATATTAAACGTACCAGCGAGCAGCGGTAGTAGTTCGATGGCGAACCTAACCTAGGATCCTAAACGGTACCGTGTCCCGCAACGGCGTGGCAATAGTACAGTTGCAACTGAAAAAGCAGAAAAAGTCAGATAAGAGACAAAAGAAATTGCGTGTAAAGCAGGTAGTAGAGACGAGCAATAATTCACAAGACCGCAAAATCGTGCGTGTCTCTTCTTGTCGGGTAGCACTTGGTCCGGAGGTGGGGGATGCGCCCGAAGAGACAGTCTCGGCCGAGTGCCTCGACGTGTATAAATACAACCAGTCGGCTTGGCTCTCGCTTAGTCGCTGCGATACTCGATTCTCGGTGACGGCCTGTCGATTCGAGTGTGCCTCGATCCCGATTTATCGCAACCGGCCTGCAGTGTCGCGTACCGCGCCCGTGCGC